ATTGGAATTACTCAAATTCTTAGAATTATTGGAAAATCCTTGCCTGGCCAGCATTCCCTAGCAATTCTGTTTCTGGAATTTTTGGAATTCTGAGAATCCTAGAAATAATTCTAACAATTCTACTAATTCCAATTGGAATTATTCCAAATCTTAGAACTAGTTCTAAGAATTCCAATAAATCCAATTAGATTATTCTAATTCCTAGAATTAATTCTAAGAATTCTAATAATTCCAATTGGATTTATTCCAATTCTGAGAAATATATGGAAATCCTTGCCTGGCCAGCATTCCCTGGCAATTCTGTTTCTGGAATTTTTGGAATTCTTAGAATCCTAGAATTAATTCTAATAGCTCTAATAATTCCAATTGGAATTAGTTTAACTCCTAGAATTAATTCTAAGCATTCTAATAATTCGAATTGGAATTATTCTAATTAATTCTGAGAATTCCAAGAATTCCAATTGGAATTATTCTAATTCCTAAAATTAATTCTAAGAATTCTAATAATTCCAATTGGAATTGTTCCAATTAATGGAAATATATGGAAATCCTTGCCTGGCCAGCATTCCCTGGCAATTCTGTTTCTAGAATTTTTGGAATTGATAGAATCCTAGAATTAATTCTGAGAATTCTTATAATTCAAATTGGAATTATTCCAGTTCCTAGAATTAATTCTAAGAATTCTAGTAATTCCAATTGGAAGTATTCCAAATCTTAGAACTAATTCTAAGAATTCCAATAATTCCAATTGGAATTATTCTAATTCCTGTCTTAAAAATTCTAAGAATTCCAATTGGAATTACTCAACTTCTTTGAATTGTTGGAAAATCCTTGCCTGGCCAGCATTCCCTGACAATTATGTTTCTCGAATTTTTGGAATTCTTAGAACACTAGAATTCATTCTAAGAATTCTAGTAATTCCAATTGGAATTATTCAACCTCCTAGGATTAATTCTAAGCATTCTAATAATTCCAATTGGAATTATTCAAATCTTACAACTAATTCTAAGAATTCCAATAATTCCAATTGGAATTATTCTAATTCCTAGAATTAATTTGAAGAATTCTAATAAGTTCAATTAAAATTATTCCAATTCTTAGAACTATTGGAAAATCCTTGCCTAGCCAGCATTCCCTGGCAATTATGTTTCTGGAATTCTTAGAATTCTTAGAATCCTGAAAATGATTCTAATAATTCTGAAAATTCAAATTGGAATTATTCCAATTCCTAGAATCCATTCTAAGAGCACTAATAATTCCAATTGGAATTATCCCAAGTCTTAGAATTTATTCTAAGAATTCGAATAATTCCAATTGGAATTATTCTAATTCCTAGAATTAATTCTAAGAATTCTAAGAATTCCAATTGGAATTACTCAACTTGATAGAATTATTTGGAAATCCTTGCCTGGCCAGCATTCCCTGGCCATTCTGTTTCTGGAACCTTTGGAATTCTGAGAATCCTAGAATTAATTCTGAGAATTCTAATGATTCTAACTGGAATTATTCTAGTTCCTAGAATCAATTCTAAGAATTCTAATAATCCAATTGGCATTATTCCAAAGCTTAGAATTAATCCTAAGAATTCCAATAATTCCAAATGGAATTATTCCAATTCTTAGAATATTTGGAAATCCTTGCCTGGCCAGCATTCCCTGGCAATTCTGTTTCTGGAATTGTTGAAATTCTTAGAATCCTAGAACTTGATTCAACGAATTCTGAAAATTCCAATTGGAATTATTTGAATTAAACGAAATTGTTAGAATTTTTAGAATTAATTCGAGGAATTTGAATATTTCCAATTGGAATTATTGGAATTGATAGAATCAATTTTAAGGTTTGGAATAATTCCAATTGGAAATATTAGAATTTGTGGGATATCTTCCAGGAATTAGAATAATTCCAATTGGAATTATTAGAATTGATAGAATTAATTCTAGGATGCTAAGAATTCCAAAAATTCTAGAAACAGAATTGCTAGGGAATGCTGGCCAGGCAGGGATTTCCATATATTTCTAAGAATTGGAATAATTCCAATTGGAATTATTAGAATTATTTGAATTATTTCCAGGAATTAGAATAATCTAATTGGATTTATTGGTATTCTTAGAACTAATTCTAAAATTTGGAACAATTCCAATTGGAATTACTAGAATTGATAGAATTAATTCTAGGAATAATTCCAATTGGAATTATTGGAATTCTTAGAATTCATTCTAGGATTCTAAGAATTCCAAAAATTCCAGAAACAGAGTTGCCAGGGAATGCTGGCCAGGCAAGGATTTTCCAATAGTTTTAAGAGTTGGAATAATTCCAATTGGAATTATTGGAATTCTTAGAACTAATTCTAGGAGTTAGAATAATTCCAATCTAGGAATTTGAATAATTCCCATTGGAATTCTTAGAATTCTTAGAATTAAATTCTAGGATTCTAAGAATTCCAAAAATTCCAGAAACTGAATTGCCAGGGAATGCTGGCCAGGCAAGGATTTTCCAATAATTCTAAGAATTTGAATAATTCCAATTGGAATTATTAGAATTCTTAGAATTAATTCTAGGAATTAGAATAATTCCCATTGGAATTATTAGAATTCTTAGAATAATTCTAACAATTAGAATAATTCCAATTGGAATTATGAGGCATTGGAATAATTCCAATTTGAATTATTCGAATTCTTAGGATTAATTCTAGGATTCTAAGAATTCCAAAAATTCCAGAAACAGAATTGCCAGGGAATGCTGGCCAGGCAAGGATTTTCCAATATTTCTATTAATTGGAATAATTCCAATTGGAATTATTGGAATTCTTAGAACTAATTCTCAGATTTGGAATAATTCCATGGAATTATTAGAATTCTTGGAATTGATTCTAGGATTCTAAGAACTCCAAAAATTCCAGAAACAGAATTGCCAGGGAATGCTGGCCAGGCAAGGATTTTCCAATAAAATTGGAATAATTCCAATTGAAATTGTTAGAATTCTTAGAATTAGTTTTAGGAATTATTGGAATTATTAGAAATCTTAGTTAATTCTAGGATTTGGAATAATTCCAATTGGAATTACCTAGGGCTTCAAGAACCTGAAAAAATGTCGTACCCTGACTGAAACATTTTGTTTTTGCTCGATTTTCTAAAAACATCGTGTTTTCAGGAAAAACATTGTTTTTGATAAAACCCTTTAAAATTGGCTTCTGAGGCCAAACACTCATTTGGTCAAAGGCAAGGGTCGGGAGTGGAAGTCACACAGGCATCACCCATTAAGATTTCAACTGAGGGCAACGCTCTATGCTGAGTATGCTTCAAATTCTAAGGACCACATTGATGAGCCTGAGAGCCAGGGTGTGCAGCTGGCTTCAGTTTTTAAGTACCCTTCACAGCAACAGGCACCTGAAGACTAGGGCCAGGTCATACCGAACCAGTTTGAAGGGGGTGCTGGAATCCCAAAGCTCCTTTTAATGCAAAACAAGACCAGGTGACACCTTTTGAGATTGTTTTTATGATTTTTGAGTTGTTTTTGGAAAACGGGGCGGGATCCTGGCGGCTAACCGGAAAAACCGTAGAAAACCCGTAGAAGCCCAGAGAAAACCTGTAGAAACCCATAGAAAACCTGCACCCAACCGAAAACATCGTGTTTTTGGAAAACATCGTGTTTTCTAACCCGTAGCTAAACCGTGGAAAACCCGTAGTAAAGTGTGGCAAACCGTGGAAATTCTATGGGTTTTTCGGGTTCAACCACGAATGCGCTAATTCGAGATCGTTGCCGGAAAACAACGAAGTCGTGAGCAAAAGTCTTTGCTTCAGCTTGCGCGCTGTTCGAAGCCAGCACGTGGCATTGCTGCTTGACAAGTGTCATAAAACCGTGGTACTTTTGACTATTTGGGTCCCCGGCCTCCTTCTTTCAGATTGGAGTTGCGAAAGACGAGTGGCGAATGCGAAGCTGATTTCGTTACGAGCGCAAAAGGGGAGGGCAATGGGAGATTCTGAGGTTGAGATGATGCTTTTGAGATCTTTTGAGAACGGATGACGAGTTGAAGGAATGTATGGGAAAATGCTTGAAATCGAAAATGCCGTGTTTCCCGAAAACATCGTGTTTTCCCAAAAAACATCGTGTTTTTTGTAGGTATGACATTTTCATCGGTTTTGAGGCTCCTGGTATTGGAATTCTTAGAATTAATTCTAGGATTCTAAGAATTCCAAACATTCCAGAAACAGAATTGCCAGGGAATGCTGGCCAGGCAAGGATTTTCCAATAACTCTAAGATGTCCAATAATTCCAATTGGAATCATTCCAATTCCTAGAATTTCCAATTGGAATTATTGGAAATCTTAGAGTTTATTCTAAGATTTGGAATAATTCCAATTAAAATTATTAGAAATCTTAGAATTAATTCTAGGAATTGGAATAATTCCAATTGGAATGATTAGAGTTCTTAGAATTGATTCTAGGATTCTAAGAACTCCAAAAAAAACAGAAACAGAATTGCAAGGGAATGCTGGCCAGGCAAGAATTGCAAGAATTCTAACAATTTGTTATTCTAATAATTCCTATTGGAGTTATTCCAATTTATGGAAAAATCTACGAATTCTAAAAAGTCCTATTGGAATAATTCAAATCTTGGAATTCATTCTGTAAATTCTAATGGTTCCAAATGGAACTATTAGTATTGATTCTAAAAAGTGGAATAATTCCAGCTGGAATTACTAGATTTCTTAGAATTAATTCTAGGATTTTAAGAATTCCAAAAATCTAAGAATTCCAAGGGTTTGTCTCTGGAATTCCTGGAGCTCCTGGAATTCTTGGCTTGCCAGCCAGCAGGGACAAATATTACCTAGAGGTCTCTCACACATATATATATATACATATTATACCATTTTGGGCTGACTCAATGCATCTTGAACAAGGGGTCTTGCGGAGCCACACGTGAGATGGCCAAATCTAGGGAGACTCTGAGCCAAATCCCCATTCGCATCAAGAAACCCGACCCGCGGCCGTTTCTGCGCCTTGCAATGGCCACTCTTGAACTTGCAAAGCTTCGTCTTCCGCAGGTCAGGAGCCTCAGAGCTTGGGTAAAGTTCACCGGTTCGCTGTGAAGCCTGAACTCCAGCCCCAAAAACAAATTCGCTGGTTAGTTGGTTTATGGCGGAAAAAGAAAGGAACAAACATCCTGTCTGGTGGTGAATCAAATGTGAGGGCGGCTGGGCAGATGGCCCATTCGCAGCGGCACCTTCCCTGACCCTGGGGACCCTGATTTGTGCATCTGATTTTTGTCTTTTCCCTGACATTTGTCACTCCACCGCCGCGGTCCACCCCCGTGGAAGTTGAAGTGCCGACGGCTCGCTCAACGCACAGGCAAGACGTGGCAATTTACACCATCAATTTCTCAGCTTCCCCTTTACTGATTTGGATTGGTGGTTTGCGGATTTACACTCCTGGTTCTTGTAGAGGGTAAATGGGAATTTCTCCTTCACCACCAAATCACTAATCCAAACCGCCAATTAGAGGGAAGCTGAAGTTCCTGATGTCTTGCGAAGATCTTGACCCGAAACTTTGCAGGGCACAAGAGCATAGAAGAAAAGCTCACATTGGAGCCGGTGTGAAGACTGTCTTGTGGATCAAAAATAATAAAACGCAGAGGTCACTTCGTGCCTTTTGGAAGTAGGGAACGAACCAACTTGTGACAGCAACATTGTTTGCGCTTTTCCTCTCCCGCTCCCCCCACCCGGCCTCCAACCCTTCTTGCAATTTGTATCCTCAAAAAAAAACAATTAAGCCCTGCACAGCCCAACTTCAAGTTCTCAACTTGTGACCCTTGGGCCACAGCCCCCTGAAGCTCGTCGCAGGAGTGGGCAAACGCCTGACGTGATGTGGGTGTTTCCCCTTTTTGGATGGTGAGGGAAAACAAACGGATTTTACCTGGATGGGGTCAAGGTATCCCATAAGTTGGGTCGGAAATGGAGACTCAAAGCTGGACCTGTCCAAATGAAGGTACTGGCTTGATGCTAGAAAGGAAGCCTTGTGTGAGTCAAAATGGTTTATCCAAAACAGCATCCTGGGGTGTTCTGGCAGCTCCTGCACAGTTGAGCCACACAAAACGGTTTTGCAGCCCGGCCACAACAGCAGGAAGGCAACTTGAAGTTCAACAGGGAACATCGTATGGCATGACACAGAAGAGATGACTGCAAACATCAGAATAAAGAGCAATTCCTGGACAGAACCTATCCAGCAATCAAGCCTCAATTCAACACCTGTAAAGTCAGGCAAAAAACATGTTTGCGCTGCATTTTCCGGGCTTGCTGCGTAAATTCTGGGCGCCCAGCGCAGCTGTCTCCGAACTGGCACACCCCCTGCAGGCACATTCAGGGTTGGAAACCCTGCGCCCAACTTTTTTCGCTCACTCACTCTCTCGCCGAAATTAAAGAGAAGCGTCAGTCAACTGTCCTCTAGCCGAGTCAGCTTGCATGCCCGCGCCTGAAGGTGGTACATGCAGAACTTTGTTTTTCGCAGCTGCCTGTGTAGACCTCGCATTCATGCCGGTGCGTCAGAATCCATGCGACGAGTGGACTGTTGTTTAGCCAGGCGCCCCACCTAAGTCTCCTAAAGACTTGGGATTGGGAGGCTGAGCGCAAAATGCGAACGCTGCCGCAGAAGTGACAGGGAACAGCACTAGTCTCAATCACAAAGTCGTTTCTCTTTGGGGAGTGGGTGGAGTTCACCAGGCAAAGGCGCACACCCGCGCTCGCAAACAGTCTCACGAACATGCACCAGCAAGCACAAAGCGGCAAATGAGCAACTGAAAAGAATACAAAGTATCATTGACAAGGGAAGCGCAGCTTTCCTTCGGCCTACGCGCAAAGATTCCTCTCCTCTTCACTTACCGGCCGATCAACAACGAGAGCAGCGGAAAATGCCGGTTTCATCCGGTCCACCAATCTGGGGCTTCCAATGCATGGCTCTCGATTCACACTGAGGTTGCAGCCCACTTGTCCCGAAGCAACAGCACCCTCCTCCGGTGCTGAGGACCGGCTTCCAGGCGCTTTGCCGGCAAATTGCGCATTAATCATGTAACATAGTACCAAAGATGCAAGAATATCAAACCTGCTCCCACTTACAATATCACTGGGCTTCAAGATTGCAAGCAAGTCATTGGCAAAGGAGCGATTTTCAGACCCTACAAATGCAAGGGAGGAAATGCCGCGATGCCCCTGGGATGGCCTGACTGAAATGATCCAAAAGTCTGAAGTGTCGCGAGCTCGAGTGTGTGAATCTTCATGAGTGGTCACTGGTCAATCTCCTTGCAATCCGCGTAGCCACATAGACAAATCTATATACGAAGGGCCCAACCACAAATTTCCTGCGCATCTTCTGCAGTTTGTTTCGTCCTTTCAGCGTGCTGGTCGGCCAGCACCGAAGTGCAAAACGCAAGAGACAAAAAGGGTCAGGTGCAAAAGCAGACAAAAACAAGCAAGGAAGACATGGCAAACCTTGGACAGCAAACAATGGCAAGAAAGGAGAGGTTGAGCAAAGTAAATATGCAAGACTGCCGTTGCAAAGGACATGATATCAAATACCTGCAACATGCAAAAAGTCGCAGCCAAGAAACAATATCAGCAAGAGTCAAAACAGCAAAACATACACTAGCAAACGGCCTTGTGGTGGCCCCAGCCTTGGTCTCTCGATGTTCTGGAACCACAGGCTTGCCCCTGCGATGCGACGCAATCCATCTGAATCTCCCGCCAACACAATGATTGTCCTTCATTGCACGCGGTCGCAACCCGTTGATTAGAACCAGTTGAACGATTTATGGGGTCCCCACATGCACCAAAAGTATTTCACGTATCTTGTAGAGCTGCACTGAATTGTTGTTCTGCAATCGCGTTTGCTGAGAGCGACCTGGGTGCAGATGTCTGGCAACCTGTCAAGCGGCAGCACGCCAAATCAATCCGCCTAGGATTAGCCAAGGCTCAAAAACATGTTGCCGGCACGCAGGCGAAATGCTACTGCGCGGATCTCCCAAAGCTTGGAGGCGCGCCAAACTATTGTAACCAGTCAACTGGATAGGCACCAAATGTGCAGGGCACATCATAGGGAACTATCGGATGATTTTTCAGCTGGCTGTGGCTCAAAAACATGCACCAAAATGGCACTTGGTAAATGGAAACAAGACTAAAACCTGCGTAACCCCAGTTCTTGAAGTTTGAGCCACACCCAGCTCTCGACCGGCAAAGCGGCAACCACCAGCAGAGCATTACATGCTTCATTGATGGTGCTAACCCAGCTTTTGCCATGGTAGGCAATGGGCAGGAAGCAAGTCGTATTAAACGCAAAGGAGCCCCCACAAGGACAGATTGATAGAACCGCCTTCGAAGCGGTTCTTCGAAGAGTTCTGGGAACATGTCCAAGGAATGGGGGGGTCCTAATTTCAACGTGTCTCTCCTGAAACAGCAGCCTACTTCACAATGCTCGGGGTCCTTCACGGGTGCACAGCTTGTTCCGCAGGCAGCACCAAATGGCTCAAATGAAATGTAGCTGACGCTGTTGGGATGGCTATGAAAATGTGTGCTGCAAATTCCACTACACAAGCTATGAATAAGCCATATCCCCCTGCAGGTGCGCATCTGCCTGTGAAGACCCTGTGCCAAGTGGCTTTTGCCCAATGGTGTGACTTGAAGATCAAACGCTTGCCTCATACAGGCACAGAACAAAACTCCCCGCTTCCCCGAGAGGACATGGAAAATTTGGGCGGCCGCCTGGTGGCAAGCTTCGGCGGGGCCCCCATGTCAAACTAACAATAGACTATCGGTTGTTTTCTTAGTCGCTCAATATGCTGACTACAGGTCGCTATCAAATACATGTTCGCGCGAATCCAGGTCTGTTGGCTCGTGATGTGAAGACTTGACTCAAAGCTGGTGTCTTTATCCGAACGATGAATAACACGCGACCATCCATCTGCAACACCGATTTGCTCGCCATAAGCAGGTGTCATATTATTAGGGAACCCCCAAAAAGGCTGTTTTCCTTTGGCATTCCTTGAAAACCCACACACAGAGGGTGCCCTACACAAAGACAGGCCTGACTGTGCCAGATCCAAGACCTTCCCTGGGCGCCCAGCTCCCCCTTCCGCTTTGATCCGCCCATGCCTGGCATGGTCGAGTTGCAGGTAATATTTCCCCATATTCATTGGAAAACGACGATCATGACGAGGGCTTGCCCTCAGTCACCATGCATTCTCATGATCTGGGCTGTGAATCGCAAGAAACACGAAAACAGGTCCGAAATCGCATTGCATGTTTGCCCCAGCGAATTAGCAGAATTCTTCAACATATCAGCAAGCTCAAATGCTGGCGAAGCGGCTGATGCGGAAGCAACCCAAACCGGGGCCGGTGGACAGGAGGTGTGGCGAGTAGATGGCACTTTAGGCTGGGCTTGCAGGGTGAAGAGTTGCCGCCATGTGTTCAAAACACTTTCCCAATGCCGGCAACCTCTGCCGCTGAAAAATTTCCTTGAGCCAAATATCCATCGGGGCCAACGCACTGACAAGACTCTCCGGAACCAGGTGTGTGTGTGTGTGTGTGCCAAGCCCAAATGATGCCCAAGTACTTGTGCGGGGAGGGTCTTGTATGTTGGGCATGGGCCCTACCGTGTTACACATTGTTCAGCAAAATCACGGCAGTGTCAGCTCAAGATTCGCAACCTTGACTGTTCTCCTAATTCTTGCGGGAATAGCTGAAGGCTCGATTTGGGGACTATGATTCTGAGCGATGCTAGTGCAACTCGCTAGCGCTACTTTCTGCTGCTACCTGCTTGTGCTACTTCCTGTTGCAGTCCGCTCCAGGTCTTTCCTGCAAAAACTCTTCACAATGCTTTCAGGAAGCAGCTAAACCCGAACCAGAGGGTCAATGCTCGACGTAGTTATTCAGAACACAAGTGCGAACCACAACGTGAAGTGGATTGGCGACCAAACGATATCCTTCAGGTATCATTTTGGGACACACTAAAAACGGATTACCCTCCCCTTCGTTTTAACCAGCTGTTAGCCAAACTGCGTGACACAACCACTGCATAGCATCAAGTGCACCAACTAAGCGGTGTTGTGACAAAGAGCTATCCTTTTAGTGGGAGTTGCGGAATTCCACTTGGACTGGCTCATGGTGTGCCTCTCTTGATCTGCACAAACAAAGAAAAATGGAAGCCCTTGCAAGCTTGAAGTTTCCTGACTTGAAACCAATTCAAGAGCCTGCAAGTTGCAGAGTGTCGGTTCCGGCGGCCGGACAGAACATCAATCCAAACCCACAAAACGGGTGCGTCTTCAAAAATGGAGAACCCCGCTTTCAAGGGAAACCGAAAGCAAAACCGGACATTTGTTGGCCCACTGAATTTGACACATGCCCACAAGTCCGCTGCAAAGGCCAGGGTCCGCACCTCGAGCTGAACCTTGGACCCGGGAAAATGGATGTGGCGGCCCAAAAGCTTCCTGCTGGAGGCGTCAAAACCGTGCCTCATAAATACACCCAAATACCGGAGATTCGCTCTGAAGCCCAGTTTGCTGCAATGATTTTGTGTTGCCAGGTCAGGTGAAATGTCAAAGCAACTTTCAAGGGGGTGCCGATTTGAAGGTGATTGGGCTTCATGCAGGCTAGCTACATAGCAGGATGTGTCAAAGGTAAAGCCTT